AAGAGACCTCCTGTGCATCATTGGTTTACACGGGAAAAATAAAGGTCCGATACTTTTTGAACTGCCCTTGTATTAAGGTTAAATAAATTAATCATCATCAAAATTTGCCTAAAAGTAAGTAATTATGCCTTTATTTAGTATATAGTAAATTATAAATTAATTTTAACTATAGATTGGATAAGGAACCTACCTGAAATGTCCACTGATCCTTCTAGAGTTACACAGCATTACTTCTAAAGGCCTACCATAGGCTCTTAGAACTGATGATTGTAACTCTTGATTTAGGCATACCATTGGAACATTTTCTTATTGGTTTATGTTAAAAATTTTAAATTTAGAATGTTGGTTGTGTGTTAGATTTGCTAATTTATTTGAATTCTTTTTTTTCCTAACTGAAGAAGACCTAGGAATAAGTTGAAAATGTTTTTAATATATTAAACTCATTGCTGGATATCAATAAGGTGTTTATAGTATCTCACAACTAGCTGGTCCATGATCATTTCAAATATGTAATTACAATAGAAAGTGTGAAGTCATATGAATTCTGTCACAGTCAGATATTGAAACAAATGGGTTAAATTTTGAATTTGAGATTGAAAGAATCATGAATGGATGGTGTGTGTGTGTGTGGAAGGAAGGCACAAAAGTGGGTACATAAATTTGGAATAAAGGTGAATTCATTTTTATGAATAAGTCATTTGTTGAGACATTCATATACTGTATGTCTGGTCAAAACTGTACAAAAAATAGTTCCTTGATGTTCCTTTGATGCTGATACCAATTCTGAAAGTAAAGTTCATTGTCCCAAGAACAATCACTGAGCAATTCACTGTAAAGTTTACTCAAGGGACTCAAAGACAGTGTTAAAATATACATGCACTTTAAAGATTATTTGATGAAATTGGAAGGAGTTGGAGGTAATGGAGAAAATAAAAAGTATCCAAAGGCAATATGCAATAAGCAGAGCAGAAAATGGAATCAGAGTATGAGCTTTGTGTCCCAAGAACATGGTTTTAGATTGGGTTCCTCAATCTGACATTCCAATTTGTTTCAAACCCTCACAACTTGATTGGCCCCTTATCTGTTTCCAGGTGAAATTAGAAACTTTCTCAGGCCATTGGAAAAACTTGGTGTCAAGTTAATTGTCAATGCAGAATTCAATCTCAACTAGGTATGTTTATTGATCTTAGGATCCTTAGTATTTTAAATCAGCCTGTGTGTATCTCTTTCCTTGACATTTATTCAATACAGTTTGAAGTTGAATAAATTTGTCAGGAAATTAACAATTCAAGAAAATTTCACCCACTTTCCAATTAACTTAAATGCTAGTCCAAGAAGAATTTCGATAATTCAGTGTTTCATACATAAAACTAAATAGAAAATGAAAAGTTATTTGAAAAAATTTAAAGAAATGCTTTTTACTCACATAAATGCACTAAAAAGTAAAAAACAATTTTTTCAGCTTTCACAGTATTTGTGGTAGTATGCAACCAAAAATAGAAGCATGGAGTGTTCATGTTTAGAAATATTCTTAGTTATACTTTCTATCAATTTTTATGGGCTTCCCATGAGTACCCCAAGCTTTTATTTTTGATTATAATACCAAGAATACTGTAAAAGATGAAAAAAAGTGTACTTTTTACTTTTTAGTGAATTTATATGAATAAAAATAATTTCTTTAAATTTTTTATTTTTATTTATAATCTATAAATATTCTGTAAAATAGACAATGTCTGAAAATGCTCAAATTTGTTACAATATTCTTGTATGTGCAAATAAAAAATTTATCATTTAGTTAATCATAAGTTTCAATTCAGTGTTAAACAAAATTTATTGCATTTAAACAGAACTCTTACCTTCATTTAAAACTGGAAAGTATCTTTGCAAAATTCTATTAACAAACTGATTTAAGTTATCACAACTTTTTAAATAATTTTGAAGAGCTGCATTAGGGAATGGAATTTTAAGAATTGGTGCAAGGTATCCAAATACTAATGCATCTGCTGAACATGGCCTGAAAGTATCTAAATTATTGTTTTCTTTAGTCTCCGGCCCGAATTAAAAATAATTTGTATGTATTTATATGCGAAATTATACCCCGACTTATGCGAATTCAACTTACGCGGTTATCGCTCGGTCCCACCTATCGCGTAAGTTTGGGGTATGACTATATTGTTATAATTCTAAAAATTTAAATAAGAAAAAGAAAGAGAATGAAAAATAACCCTGAAAGTAAAGTATATATAATGATAAAGATAAGTTAAACAAGCAGAATAATAACAAAAATGTGGTTAAGAAGACAAAATATGAAAGCTGAACTACAACTTTGGAGAAAATTAATAATAGTTAAAAATGTAAAATTTAGAGAATTCCTTTAAAATTTAGCTTAAATCACATTATTATTAAGTTATACGAGGGTTGTTCAAAAAGTATCGGACCTTTGGTCGGCAAAAATACATTTATTGGTTTTGAGGTACAAAACCCTAATCCCCTTCAAAGTAGTTTCCTTGGTAGTGTATACACTTCTTCCAGCACTCCTGCCATTGCTGGAAACACTGCTGGAACACAGTTTTTGGAATGACCATCAGCCAGTCCGTCGCATTCTGCACGATGTCTTCTCTCGACTCAAATTGGGTTCCTTTTAGCGGCATTTTCAGCTTGGGAAATAGCCAAAAGTCACAGGAAGCCATATCGGGAGAGTACGGAGCATGACGAACCACAGGAATGTTGTGTTTAGTGACAAAAGTCTGAATTAGATGCACAGAATGGGCGGGTGCATTATCACGATGGAGCTGCCAAGCTTTGGTCGACCACAGATCCGGTTGTTTGCGTCGCACAGCATCACAAAGACAACGAAGGATCTCCTGGTAGTACTCCTTTGCAATGGTTTGGCCTTGTGGTGTGTACTCACCATACACCACCCCACGGGAGTCGAAAAAAATTGTCAACATGATCTTGATATTGCTGCAGACCTGCCGTGCTTCTTTTGGCCTTGAGGATCATCCCGAAAGCCTGCTGAATCTTGCAAATGGTTTCTGCTTGGGTATTGCCAAGGTTTTTGGCAAAATTTGATGCAATATCGCTGCTCACATTGTTCAGTCATTTTCCAACTTAGTGGAATCCAATGAGCTCTCACTACATGTCCTCACTCATAGGCCGACTGCCAGCGACTGACGCTTCCTACAGGCGGGAAAAAATTCAGGACTATTATTCATGCATGACTGTCCCCTCCACAACTCCACCAAAAGAGACCTCCTGTGCATCATTGGTTTACACGGGAAAAATAAAGGTCCGATACTTTTTGAACTGCCCTTGTATTAAGGTTAAATAAATTAATCATCATCAAAATTTGCCTAAAAGTAAGTAATTATGCCTTTATTTAGTATATAGTAAATTATAAATTAATTTTAACTATAGATTGGATAAGGAACCTACCTGAAATGTCCACTGATCCTTCTAGAGTTACACAGCATTACTTCTAAAGGCCTACCATAGGCTCTTAGAACTGATGATTGTAACTCTTGATTTAGGCATACCATTGGAACATTTTCTTATTGGTTTATGTTAAAAATTTTAAATTTAGAATGTTGGTTGTGTGTTAGATTTGCTAATTTATTTGAATTCTTTTTTTTCCTAACTGAAGAAGACCTAGGAATAAGTTGAAAATGTTTTTAATATATTAAACTCATTGCTGGATATCAATAAGGTGTTTATAGTATCTCACAACTAGCTGGTCCATGATCATTTCAAATATGTAATTACAATAGAAAGTGTGAAGTCATATGAATTCTGTCACAGTCAGATATTGAAACAAATGGGTTAAATTTTGAATTTGAGATTGAAAGAATCATGAATGGATGGTGTGTGTGTGTGTGGAAGGAAGGCACAAAAGTGGGTACATAAATTTGGAATAAAGGTGAATTCATTTTTATGAATAAGTCATTTGTTGAGACATTCATATACTGTATGTCTGGTCAAAACTGTACAAAAAATAGTTCCTTGATGTTCCTTTGATGCTGATACCAATTCTGAAAGTAAAGTTCATTGTCCCAAGAACAATCACTGAGCAATTCACTGTAAAGTTTACTCAAGGGACTCAAAGACAGTGTTAAAATATACATGCACTTTAAAGATTATTTGATGAAATTGGAAGGAGTTGGAGGTAATGGAGAAAATAAAAAGTATCCAAAGGCAATATGCAATAAGCAGAGCAGAAAATGGAATCAGAGTATGAGCTTTGTGTCCCAAGAACATGGTTTTAGATTGGGTTCCTCAATCTGACATTCCAATTTGTTTCAAACCCTCACAACTTGATTGGCCCCTTATCTGTTTCCAGGTGAAATTAGAAACTTTCTCAGGCCATTGGAAAAACTTGGTGTCAAGTTAATTGTCAATGCAGAATTCAATCTCAACTAGGTATGTTTATTGATCTTAGGATCCTTAGTATTTTAAATCAGCCTGTGTGTATCTCTTTCCTTGACATTTATTCAATACAGTTTGAAGTTGAATAAATTTGTCAGGAAATTAACAATTCAAGAAAATTTCACCCACTTTCCAATTAACTTAAATGCTAGTCCAAGAAGAATTTCGATAATTCAGTGTTTCATACATAAAACTAAATAGAAAATGAAAAGTTATTTGAAAAAATTTAAAGAAATGCTTTTTACTCACATAAATGCACTAAAAAGTAAAAAACAATTTTTTCAGCTTTCACAGTATTTGTGGTAGTATGCAACCAAAAATAGAAGCATGGAGTGTTCATGTTTAGAAATATTCTTAGTTATACTTTCTATCAATTTTTATGGGCTTCCCATGAGTACCCCAAGCTTTTATTTTTGATTATAATACCAAGAATACTGTAAAAGATGAAAAAAAGTGTACTTTTTACTTTTTAGTGAATTTATATGAATAAAAATAATTTCTTTAAATTTTTTATTTTTATTTATAATCTATAAATATTCTGTAAAATAGACAATGTCTGAAAATGCTCAAATTTGTTACAATATTCTTGTATGTGCAAATAAAAAATTTATCATTTAGTTAATCATAAGTTTCAATTCAGTGTTAAACAAAATTTATTGCATTTAAACAGAACTCTTACCTTCATTTAAAACTGGAAAGTATCTTTGCAAAATTCTATTAACAAACTGATTTAAGTTATCACAACTTTTTAAATAATTTTGAAGAGCTGCATTAGGGAATGGAATTTTAAGAATTGGTGCAAGGTATCCAAATACTAATGCATCTGCTGAACATGGCCTGAAAGTATAAAGTATTTTGAGCATAAAATTTAAATATAATAAAATATTTTAATAGAATTTTCAAAACTATGAATAATTATACATATTATTACAATTAAATAAATATTAATTTATTTATCTTAAGTCACTAATGTAAGCACTAATTTAACAGGCTAAATTATAGAAATTGTAAGTTTATTCTGTTTTAATAATCTAACATTAGATATCATTTAAAATAAATGTATAAATTTTAAATTTTATCTTGATACTGATTCTTCCTTAGGCCAATATGCCAATTTGGTAAGAAAGCTTGCTAAAATATTGTTCTTAATTCACCGGATTACAGGTTCAAAGCTAAGATATGTAAATTTTTAGAAATGGATGTTTGTATTTATATTTATACCAAGAACTAAACAATCTAAACTTCATGCAATGTTTAAATAAATCATAAATATTGGAGGTTTCCAGAAGGATGACTGGATATTTGGATGGATTTTGGCAGTTGAGTTCAATTTCTTCATATATAGTACATTATAAAAGAAAGAATATTATCTGTTCTAATCAAATAAAACAAATTACAGTCGGCCCCCTATAACACTGTTGATTTTTTTGTTTATATGAATTCCATGTTGTATGAGTCACTTAGATTTTACAAATATGTGTGCCGGGTTGTGAACGGCTCACATATTTCTAAAATCTAAGTGACTCGTACAACATGAAATTCATATAAAACAGAAAAATCAACTGTGTTATAGGGGGTCGACTGTAATCACAAAATTTCCTAATATAAACATTTTCAAATCCCTTGTGTTTGCTTATCTTTTGAATTCCATTCAAAATCATTTTCTTCTTTTAAATTCTCTCCTCCAAACATGGAAAATCATAATCTTCACCATAATGTTAAAGAGTTACAACTGTACATATAAATTTTAAAGTTATTTTTAAAAATTCCAAGCACTAACATCTGTGAGATTTTCTACCAGACTATTTAGACAATACACAAATTAATGATTACATGAATTTGAATTTATCATTAGAATAGCTTATTAACAACTTTAATAAGTAGTTAATTTTGGCTAATTAATTAATCATTTAGAAATATTTTAAAAACCAAAATTTTTTAAATATCTGTTTGTGCTGGTAAAAGGATAAAGTCAAATTGAAATTTGACTTAACCCTTTAACCTGCTATTTTTGGTAATACCAACACTCCTGAGAATTTCTACTACTTGTTAACTTTATTGTAATTAATCTGTTGCCAGGCTTTACCAAGCAAAAACTAAATCTGTCAGTAAAAAGGTTAATTTTGAACAAACTTTTTTAAACATATTTTTATTGAAGTTACATAAATAAAGCTCATTTTCAAAATATGAATTTGTAGATTTGTTGTATTAATTATCTTAGTCAGGCTTGATTTATTCACAATTAAATTCAAGAATTGTATAAAAATACAATTTGGTTATCAATAACCTGATAAACTAAAAAAGTTAAATGCCTAAAAATCATGAACTAAGTTGACTATTACAGTTGTAGCTAAAACTATAGCTATAGTCCCCCGATGGAAGCTAAGCTAAAGTTTCAGCTATAATGTGAATAGTTTCATAATTTTTCAAACATTTGATTTTTAATTAACTGATAAAAAGTGGCATAGAAACCTATTTTCTTATTATTTTCAATGTACAAAAATTTTCATTGCATTTGAAATTGTTTAAAACTATTTTTTACATCAGATTATTTGATATTTTATATTGGAAATGCCATAACTAGCTTATTGAGATGTAAACTGAACCTAAATATTTCAATTACACAGTGTAATCCTTTTGTGAATAAATTTAATCTATAGTTTACGTAATTGTTGTTGTTAGTAAATGTTATAGATAGATTTAATTTGTTGAATGTAAATGAAACTTTTTCATTCAACATTATCTATCAATGAAATTTCTACAAATCAATCTAAATCTCAGTAATGAATTTTGTATTCTATAATATGATTTAAGCAATATATTAGGTATTGAGTGAAGAAATGTATTCTTGAAGTTCTCTGTTGGTATTTTTCATTTATTCACATTTAAAATTATTACCTTTTCCCAAAAAAAAATTCATTTTCACCTAATCTTTCTGAAAGTAAAGTCATGCATTCTTCTGCTTTCTTATATATCTGAAATAAAAAGGAAATAGCATTTGGATAATTCAAACATATAACATGAAAGTGTGTTTAAAATATCATAATTATACAAAATAAATAAAAATTATGTTGAAATGAGAATGATCTATCTACTGTGGTTAATCAGTTTAATTAATGGATTTTAACGGTATTGAAATTTGAACAATGCAAACTTTTCAGCCCTGATTCTAAATTCAACTGTCGATACCTGAGAATGACCCATTAACTGGGCTGAAAACATTTGCATTATTCAAGTTTCACCACTAGTTATAGGTGCAATTAATTAAGTTATAAGATGTAATATTTATAAAATAAATAATTATAAATTAGTTTTAAAATAAAAATATGTTGACATAGTTATATGTAAAAATCAATGATTATTATTTAAAGTTATAAAAAGTTTCAACTTTTATCATCAAATTTATTGTAATGCTTATAAGTTACATTCATTTATAAGCATGAATGTTCATGACTCAGTCAGATCTCGAAGGTAGCTAATTAGTGAAGAACAGTGTCTGATGTATTTGGACCAAAATACTTGTGAAAATTCTTGAGCATCCAACTCAGACTGAAACCCAAGTCACACAATTATAATAAAATTAAATAATTTAGAAAATTCTGGAAGAAAAGAATCAGAGCAGAACTTGAACCTGAAACTGCCACTTACCATGTGGATATGTTGCCAGTTATGCTAATCAAGCCTCCAGTCTGATACTTGTTACATATGTACTGTACATTGGGTTTGTAGATGTTGGTTTATGTATCCTAATCACTATGAGAAATTCACTATTAATTGTATTTATGGGATTTCTGAGATAGTAGCAATCTTCTAAAACAATGGATGTGAATTCTCTTTGGAATTAAACATCCTGTGATCCACAATGTAGAAAATAGCTTTATAAGGTATAATTTTCTCATAATAGTGTAATGACTAAGATTTAGTAAAGGCATTGATTATTGTTCACAAGAATTGATGCAGATGTTTGACTTTATTGAATTTTATTGTGAATTTCTATTTGGAGAATTATTTGCAGCCATAAAGTATTTATTTATTCAACAAAATAAAACCTTTTTAGCTAAGGTCATACAAGTATTAATTATATCTGTATAAATAATACTGTATAATAAGATTATTCAATTTACATATTTACTTACTTGCGTCTCTCTTTGTTCTTCATTAATATTTTCATAATTTTGAAGGGAATGAATTGTTTTAATTGCTTTACGTTGCACGTGTCCAGGAACAAAGTAATTGAATGGGAAAGGAAGTATTTTTGCATACCATGGTCTTGTCACTTCTGTATAATTCTGTTCATCTATCCATGAGATATATAACTACAATTTAAAACAAAACTCAAAGCATTAGTTCAATAATAATATCCTACATTATTTGAAAAATTAAATATTTTTTCACTTACTAATGCAGGATATAATGAATTTTTTAACAGTGAAGAATATGCTATAATATCTGAGCATTGTTTTTGTGATAAATCAAAATCTGCACAATAATTCTGAAAGTTTTTGTTAATTATATTAATTATTTAAAATTTTTAAATAATTTTGAAGAGCTGCATTAGGGAATGGAATTTAAAAATGTATAAAATATACAAGTATGCTTTTCTCAAAATATATATTCCTAATGATTTTTCAATTGATAGATTTGTTAACATGAGACAACATTGTATTAAAATNTAATATAACAAATATCATTTATTGAAGATAAAAGTCATCCCTGCAACTTTTATACTTATATTGCGATTCATTATAGATATTATTTTCAAATTATAATTTAATGCCTGCAAAATCAATATTCATTTTGACAAATAAAAGTAATATAATGAAGCAAACACAAGACTAGGAATCCATAATTAAAGATTTTAGAATAACTTTTCATTATAAAAAAACTTTAATTAAGTTTTATTAATAAAAAATTATATTTATCAATATAAATTTTACTTACACTGATTAATCCACTTCCGAAAGCATACAATACCATAGCAGAAGCAGCAAAAGCTCCAGATAATATAATATCTCTCCACTTGTGAGGAAAATCCTGACTCGTTTCATTTTTTGATTTGCTGTTTGTATTCTCTAAAAAGTAATAAATATTTCTTAAAAGGAATAAAGTAAGTTTAAAAAAACAAATTAAATGTATCATCAAATATGTATAATACTATTCAAAAATATGCAATAAATNATATTTTAAAAACCAAAATTTTTTAAATATCTGTTTGTGCTGGTAAAAGGATAAAGTCAAATTGAAATTTGACTTAACCCTTTAACCTGCTATTTTTGGTAATACCAACACTCCTGAGAATTTCTACTACTTGTTAACTTTATTGTAATTAATCTGTTGCCAGGCTTTACCAAGCAAAAACTAAATCTGTCAGTAAAAAGGTTAATTTTGAACAAACTTTTTTAAACATATTTTTATTGAAGTTACATAAATAAAGCTCATTTTCAAAATATGAATTTGTAGATTTGTTGTATTAATTATCTTAGTCAGGCTTGATTTATTCACAATTAAATTCAAGAATTGTATAAAAATACAATTTGGTTATCAATAACCTGATAAACTAAAAAAGTTAAATGCCTAAAAATCATGAACTAAGTTGACTATTACAGTTGTAGCTAAAACTATAGCTATAGTCCCCCGATGGAAGCTAAGCTAAAGTTTCAGCTATAATGTGAATAGTTTCATAATTTTTCAAACATTTGATTTTTAATTAACTGATAAAAAGTGGCATAGAAACCTATTTTCTTATTATTTTCAATGTACAAAAATTTTCATTGCATTTGAAATTGTTTAAAACTATTTTTTACATCAGATTATTTGATATTTTATATTGGAAATGCCATAACTAGCTTATTGAGATGTAAACTGAACCTAAATATTTCAATTACACAGTGTAATCCTTTTGTGAATAAATTTAATCTATAGTTTACGTAATTGTTGTTGTTAGTAAATGTTATAGATAGATTTAATTTGTTGAATGTAAATGAAACTTTTTCATTCAACATTATCTATCAATGAAATTTCTACAAATCAATCTAAATCTCAGTAATGAATTTTGTATTCTATAATATGATTTAAGCAATATATTAGGTATTGAGTGAAGAAATGTATTCTTGAAGTTCTCTGTTGGTATTTTTCATTTATTCACATTTAAAATTATTACCTTTTCCCAAAAAAAAATTCATTTTCACCTAATCTTTCTGAAAGTAAAGTCATGCATTCTTCTGCTTTCTTATATATCTGAAATAAAAAGGAAATAGCATTTGGATAATTCAAACATATAACATGAAAGTGTGTTTAAAATATCATAATTATACAAAATAAATAAAAATTATGTTGAAATGAGAATGATCTATCTACTGTGGTTAATCAGTTTAATTAATGGATTTTAACGGTATTGAAATTTGAACAATGCAAACTTTTCAGCCCTGATTCTAAATTCAACTGTCGATACCTGAGAATGACCCATTAACTGGGCTGAAAACATTTGCATTATTCAAGTTTCACCACTAGTTATAGGTGCAATTAATTAAGTTATAAGATGTAATATTTATAAAATAAATAATTATAAATTAGTTTTAAAATAAAAATATGTTGACATAGTTATATGTAAAAATCAATGATTATTATTTAAAGTTATAAAAAGTTTCAACTTTTATCATCAAATTTATTGTAATGCTTATAAGTTACATTCATTTATAAGCATGAATGTTCATGACTCAGTCAGATCTCGAAGGTAGCTAATTAGTGAAGAACAGTGTCTGATGTATTTGGACCAAAATACTTGTGAAAATTCTTGAGCATCCAACTCAGACTGAAACCCAAGTCACACAATTATAATAAAATTAAATAATTTAGAAAATTCTGGAAGAAAAGAATCAGAGCAGAACTTGAACCTGAAACTGCCACTTACCATGTGGATATGTTGCCAGTTATGCTAATCAAGCCTCCAGTCTGATACTTGTTACATATGTACTGTACATTGGGTTTGTAGATGTTGGTTTATGTATCCTAATCACTATGAGAAATTCACTATTAATGGTATTTATGGGATTTCTGAGATAGTAGCAATCTTCTAAAACAATGGATGTGAATTCTCTTTGGAATTAAACATCCTGTGATCCACAATGTAGAAAATAGCTTTATAAGGTATAATTTTCTCATAATAGTGTAATGACTAAGATTTAGTAAAGGCATTGATTATTGTTCACAAGAATTGATGCAGATGTTTGACTTTATTGAATTTTATTGTGAATTTCTATTTGGAGAATTATTTGCAGCCATAAAGTATTTATTTATTCAACAAAATAAAACCTTTTTAGCTAAGGTCATACAAGTATTAATTATATCTGTATAAATAATACTGTATAATAAGATTATTCAATTTACATATTTACTTACTTGTGTCTCTCTTTGTTCTTCATTAATATTTTCATAATTTTGAAGGGAATGAATTGTTTTAATTGCTTTACGTTGCACGTGTCCAGGAACAAAGTAATTGAATGGGAAAGGAAGTATTTTTGCATACCATGGTCTTGTCACTTCTGTATAATTCTGTTCATCTATCCATGAGATATATAACTACAATTTAAAACAAAACTCAAAGCATTAGTTCAATAATAATATCCTACATTATTTGAAAAATTAAATATTTTTTCACTTACTAATGCAGGATATAATGAATTTTTTAACAGTGAAGAATATGCTATAATATCTGAGCATTGTTTTTGTGATAAATCAAAATCTGCACAATAATTCTGAAAGTTTTTGTTAATTATATTAATTATTTAAAATTTTTAAATAATATTTACATAATGTAATATTATTACCTGCTTTCTCAGATGTGCAATAATATCTTTAAATTTTGTTAATTTAATATTTAATCCATGAGTGAAATATGGCAATTCATCTAAAAGACATAAATATTATTAAATTTCAAACAAAATTTTGTAATTATTTTCAAATTTTAAATATAATTAGTTTAACTAAAATCAATAAAAGATCATTTAAGAAAATAAAATTTTAAAACAATTTGTTATCTCAGAGATATATAACTATATTATATGTAAAAAAGTTTTCAAATAATTTTATATAAAATTAAATTTTAAATAAAAGTTTCAAAGGTTTGCTAACTGACTGACACTATATGACAATAGTAGACTAACACTATACCACTATACCACACACCACAAGCATCTGACTGATTTATGTCAGTCAGATGGCTGTGTGGTATAGTGTTAGTCTACTATTGTGGAATCCATCTTCAAAAGTCATCCAGATCTTTACAATTTACAATGGACAATATTCATTTGGATGTTGTCCCTTATACCTTACCAATTTTGAGACTAATCAGAAATGATCAGAAATAAGATAATTTTCATTCATAATAAGCAAAATTAGCTGACTTCATGGCATTATTAAGTATTTTGTCTTTAGAATCTGTTGTTAATTTATAGAAAATTTTGATAAAATAAAATAGTTAATAAAATAGAAATAAAACAGAACACAAAATGAGGATATATGATTTGTTATAAATCAAATTTTAATGTGTAAGTTTAATTTAATTAAGTCAAATTTGCTTTTAATAATGTAATATTTTTGGAGTCCTTTAATTTAGAGTTTTTTTTAGCAAGTTTGGCTTAAATTAAGGACAATTTATTTGAGTCTTAAAATAAGGAGTCAATGCAAAATTTAAATTAAGTTCATTATTACTTATATATTTATGTGATTTACAAATATTGAGATAAAAATTACATAATTCTTTTGAAAATTTATATTTTTTATAAAGATTGTTAATTTATATAAACTTATTTATTATTGCAGTGGATACTAAAGATTATTTAAATAAATAATCTTTAGTATCCACTGCAATATCAGAATTGAATAATTCCAAACATTATAAATTTCTTCAAAGTGCATTTGTGAAAAATTCAGTCATGTGAATAAAAATTGAAAATAAACAGTAACTGTTCCCAGCATGTTTTTTCAAAGAGATACATCTGTATTCAACTTCAAATGTGTAGTTTAGTAATTTTTTTATTACAAAAGTATAGCCTTACAAGCTTATTCTTAACAGTTCATTAGATTCACTACTTTATTTGTATACTTACACTGTTGTTCTAGTTTACACTAATATTTTATTACAAAAATACAGTATCATTACATTTTCTTTGTTGTCTATTGCATACTAAGCAAAATGCAGTTCTTATATAACTCCTAATAATAGTAGTAGTATAAACAAACTTATTTGTTATGTTATTGTTTACAAACATATTCTTTAATGACCTCATTAAGTATTTGTTATTAAGGTAATTAAAGTTTGTAATATTTCATATCATGTTAAAAGCAGTTCAATTTTTTGCAGTGTTTAAGTGTGTTATTGGCAAAATAGATTAGAGTTATTTGGATGAACCAGGAACAAATTTCTCCCAAAAGAAATAATGGAAAATACTTCCTGATAGTCAAATTGTTTTCATGAATATATCAGTTCAGAGAATAGAAAAATTATTGGATTTTAACTAATTTTTCCATCAGTCATTTTAGCAATTTAATATTCTACAGTCTTTCTAACTGAAAAGCTTTTATACATTGAACATAATAAATTTAAAAGTCAATGATTTCATTTTATAAATGTGTCTTAAAAACAAATAAAAACTTCAGTTTTAATGGATGAATACATATACTTATACTCTATGTAAAGACAATACCCAAATCAATACTCAAAAGCTCACAAATTAAATTTAAATTTTATTGTATGAAATTTTAAATTTTATATATAAAAACATTAATATTTTACTGATGTTTTTATATTTAATTACTCTATTTCTAAATCACTTAGATTTAGCTTATTAATGCTTAATTTTCAAATTGCATATACCATTACTTATAAATTTAAATCAAACTAACTCCATTTATAAAAAAGCAACCAATACAAAATTCTTATCTTCAATAACATTAGGGATATTCATTATAAGAGTGTCAATGCTATGAAAATTGTATTGAATTTGAACAAAAACATTTCCATGGTGTTAAAAAAAATGTATCCATTGGCTCTACTAACGGGTATCTAGCCAATAGATTAAAATAACCTCAGGGATAACAGCAAAATCATGGAGAGACAATATTAATTCAGTATGCCTTCAATACTGACTACATCAGAGCCTTAGAATTCCTGAGATATTCAAAGCACCAAAGAAAGAAAAATGTATCAATTTCAAGGATTCTAATTGTTATTAGCAGCTTGACTGTCATTTTATGATAATCCCAGATAATGCATAAACATGACGGCCAAATATGATTGTAATATTAACTTTTGTAGAGAATTAATATGATGTTTAGTTTATTAACTTTAATATCTGTAAAATCTTAAATATTTAGATATGTAGAAGTTGTGTTTAAATGCCTTCCAAAGATTTTTGAATATGGTTAATTCATTGTGGAATGTCTTTGTATTCCCCAAAATATAACATAAGAACTTCATGTTATATTATATTTTAGACTTGATATTGGCCTATAAATTAGGCCAAAAGCATTTGTGTTTATTAAATTTTTATTCCAAAAGAAGTAAAAGGTTGTTATTTGTGCTTAGAAATATTTCTAATTTTTGTTGTTTCTTAATTTTAGTTAATAATATAATGTTGTAGCAACAATCTTATTTAAGTAATTTTAAAAATTTAAATAAATGTCACTTATAACCAGTTAAAAGAACAAAAAAATTATCATTTTTATTTGATTAAAATTTATATTTTAATTTTTAGTTGCATAAACAATTTTGTTAATAATACAATCTATTATCATCATGGAAATGTTTTTTGTTTTAGTTGATACAATCTCCACACCAAGGAACTTCTCGGAGATGGACATCATAACCTGAAAATATTTCAACATTTTCTTTAATTTTTGCTGAATTTACGAAGAATTTATCTTCATTAAAGCATCTTTCATATTTCTTTTAGAGAAGTTTTATAAAGATGAAAGTTTTATAAAGATAATATTATTAAAAAAATATTTAATAATATAAACAATTTTGCATGAAACACCTTAAACAGTTTTTGTCAGACAATAAATTTAATTATAGATGTCTTTGGTAATATATTAAAATGCATAGAAAATGCAATTAAAAAATAAAATTATTTACAGCACACTTGATTTATTCCTTTACTTCTTGTTATTTTAACTGGAGCACCAGAAAATTTACAGTAAGCCTGTAATAAAAGAAAATTATTGTTAATAAAGTTTAAAAACTTAAATAAAAATATTGTAATTATTAATATACGTTGTTAAAGAATTTAAAATAAATGAATAAATCACAAATTAATTTCAAATTTAAATTTTAAAAAATGCATTTTTTGCATGTTTAGAGTTTGGAGTTTGACTTTTAAACTAAAATGAATATAACAACATTAAAAATGTTAAATAATGCATATAAATATTTAATTTTCCCAAATAAAACCAAATTTCTGTAATATAAATTTGAAGGAAGCTAAATACAAAGAACACAAAATTCAGCATTTAAAACATTTTTAAAAGAAATTAAATCAGCAAACACAGGGAAAAAGTAATTTTTTAAATGCCAAAATAAAATAATTCCATTCTGTATCAAAAAAGGCTACAATAAAATATAAAAAATACCTATTTTCCGAATTTAATTCTTTTTAATACATGTTTTCATGTTACATTTTTTTCCTATTCTTGTAAATATTTATCACTATTAGAATGTGCTATTCAAATATATAAAATTTTAAAAACAGCCTTTGCAATCTCATTAATTAATGTAAAATGTAAAAAGCAACAATAGAGCAAATATTTGCCCACAAGTTATAAAGTGTTACCTTATTACTATACTATTGGCAAAAACCATCTCAGAAGTACTTTTATTTAAATAGAACAAATATTTTTGTTCCAAATGTTATATTTTTCACCTGAGTTAGTATCATTTAATTGTTAGCATTATTGTTTTAAAGATAATTAACTGTTACCAAGATCATCAGAAAGAAAAGATCAGGATTTTTTCCTGGGCCCAGAGAAATCTTAGGACATGTACAGTTCCTACTCCTATAAAACAAATGTTAGTAAAAATAAAATGTTTGAGACTTCTTTTTATCAATAAAGAATCATTAACAATATAAAAGCTGTCAAGTGTGTGTGCATTCCTTATAACTACTGCAATTTTTGTCCAACCAGATGAAATTTTGGTTATATTTGTGTAATGTTCTGAGAGAAAGTACAGACTACTTATTTTTGCAGAAATATTAGATATAGAATAAACATTTTATCAATTTGAGATTGGTGATTGCACTTATGTTGCAATGACATCAGTGACCTCATTTAGTTCATGGTTGATGATGGAATTTCCCTTAAGTTGCATTTTTAAATATTTTAGTAAATGGCATATTTTAAACTTACTTCATTAAATTTAAAATTTAAACTTTAAAAATAAATAGATGCATCATAACAAATTTTTTTAAAAATCTTTCCATAGTGACCACATGAATTCTATTATCCAATTGGAAGTAACAATCTAACAAGCTCATTATTGGAAACATTTTAAAAGACAATGGAGTGTTTACTCAGAATGTGGTGTATAAAGTAATTTTATAAACAAAGATTAAAAAATTTTTTTTAATATAAAGGCCATAATCTATTTGTGTGTGTGTGTGTGTGTGTGTGTGTGTGTAAGTGAATTCTCTATAACTCTCACTATTTTTGTCCATTTCAGTTGAAATTTTGTTTTGTTGCTCTTTATGTTACAATAGATAGTATAAACTACTTAATTTGTAGAAATATTAACAACTTTTCTTGAATTTCTTGAAATCTCTAATCTCAATTCTTCAATCTCTACTTTCTCATAAAAAGTATTATGTCATGCTTGATGGGGAAATTTCTAGTTCTGTATATTTCATTTGTAAAAAAAAAAAAAAGCTGGTAAAGGGCAAAATGGACTTTTATCCTGGACTCTACACTAGTTCTTGGCAGCTCTGACTAACATTATCTCTTAACTTTTGCTAAAAATTTAATGAAGATGCTATAAGTGCAGGCTATATACTGTATACAGTGGTGCATCCAGAGAGGTGAGGCCAAGGGACCTTGGCTCCCTGCAAAGGAAAAGGAAAACAAACACTAGAAAATTTTCCAAAAATCTTTTCTTAATTGAAATTCTTAATTCTTTTTCATTCATTTTTATTGTAGACTTCACATTAGAAAATATCAGGTACAGTGAAGTAGAGAAAATGATAAAATATTAGCATCATCAAAGTTAACTCCGTTTTTCTTCATGACTTTTAATAAAATTAATAAAAATTAGATTTGAAAAGAAAATAATAGCGACAGTTTTAATTCTTTCTGTTTTAAATTCAAATTTATTTAGTAAAATTTTCAGTTTTCACTTATAGTAAATATAGCTCAAGAATTGAATATTAGAATTAAATAAAATCTGCTCACCATAACTTGAAGGCAAACTGGATCAACACTTGGTAATCCCCAATTTCCCTCTAAAATCAACAGATCCATTCTTATACTTGTCAAAATACAATCCAAAAACAGATCATCAGTTTATTATTATTCAATCTTTCGCCATGTGACATTCAGCGTTTAAACAGCAACGCCATCTAACAGGTGTTCTTTCAATAGTTTTATTTCAGAATTTAAATTGTCTGTATCAAAAAAATAGATATTATATAATATTATTTCTAAATGGAAATTAATATTTATGTTTATTTATTAAATATTAATAAATAAGTTAAAATTATTTCTATTGTTTTAGACATGTTATCTAAAATTAACTCATTACGGCTATCAAACCACCATATTTAGTCCATTGTAACTTGCTGTGTTTTATCACGTGCGACTAAATATCCATATGGCACAACGCGCTGATTGGTCAGCTGAATGACGTCAACCCACTGAAGTATAGATATTAGTGTTGCAACGAATAAGTATATTCGGCCTCAGGCCGAATACCGAATATTCGGCCAGGAGCGTGGCCGAATAGCCGAATATTCGGGCAAACTATTCGGCTCGATTAATGCACGTACGAAAATTGGCGCGCAAACCGCATTATCGCAATGATCCTTCTCTCTATTGGCCCGCTGTCACTACGTTTCACCAATCGCGTTAATTCTTGACAGTTGTAGCGGACAGACAAGAGCGTCATGGAAGTATGTGATAAATGATGATATCAAACGTGGATAACAGTAAACTGCTCGACTTGTTCGATTATGTTATCAACTCAATTTCTTATTTATTTTCACATTTTCACTTCTCGGTCTTTCTCTGTTCTTTTTCCGTTATTTACACGTGAAGGACGTAAAAATGTGAAAATAAATATGAAATTCAGTTGATAACATAATCGAACAAGTTGAGGCAGTTTATTTGCACGAAATTCGCGCCCGTCAATGCCAAACAATTATTGTCATAGACTTCGGAAAGCTAAATGCTTGTAATGAAAGTCACTTAACGTGCACGGGCGAAAGCCTGGGACCGTTCGGGCTACCAAGCTGTCTCGAATCTGTGAAATCATAACTGTGACATATACCGACGTCCTATCTGTCTCTTTTCTCCGTTATCACCATGCTATCAGTCACGTAATTATAAAATGGAAAAACTATGACGGAAAAGTGACAAATCGAAAGTATCGTGAGCACATATAATGATGTATGCATAGGCATACGTGGACTAGAGAGATAGAGGAAAAAGAAAGAGAAGAAGGATAGGCAGGGTCAGACCCTCAGATGTGTGACGATTCTCGAACGAATAGGTGTGTACAGTACGTCTGCTGATCCTTGTAATTGTAAACTGTGAATACATGTGACTAATATTATTTTCTTTTTTATTTTGTGCATGTTATAAGTTATAAACAAATATAAACAAACAACACTAACCCAATAACATTAAATCTAAATACCAAAATGATTCATTTACTGTGGTTTTGTTATTTCTTACTCCTGTTTTTAGGTATTCGGCCGAATAGCGAAAAATAGGCCGAATACCGAATAGTAACCGAATATTCGTTACATCACTAATAGATGTATTAGAAAGGTTGCTGCGCAAGTTTAAACGTTACTTGTACAGTACACGGTTTACGTCAGTGTTTTTCAACCTTTTTAAATACGCGACCCCTTTACAAGTTAAAAAATTCTGGCGACTCCCTAGGGCCATATTAAAACTGTATCAGTGATTTAAAAAATTATGTATTTAATTTTCTTTCTGTTGAGAGAAATTACTGTTGACTAAAATGAGAATTTAAGGAGAATCGACAATAACTTAAGACACGTATAGTATGTTACTTCCTTCTTATAATAACAATGCGTTCGGAGTGCTGTTAACCCTTTTTTTTGTATGAGGGTTTTTCACTTCAACTTTTCTACAGGCGACACCCATCATTCGGACCTAAATGTCAATCAAAGAACCAACTGTACTGTATAATAAACAGGTACAGCCTTCTCGCTGAAATTGTAGTTTTTTTAATGTAGTGTAGGACCTACAAACACTTGTCTTTTTCATTTACCCGCGACCTCCAGGGAGTCGCGACCCACAGGTTGAAAAACACTGGTTTACGTTTTAACTCCAAGAGAAAATGGTTGCGGCGCACGTTCACATCACGTGACTCAATGAACGTCGCGCATTGACTCAAGGGAAATTTGTTGAAAAAAATGGCGGATACATTTAACATCGAGCGTTACCAGCGAAGGTAAATAAACAAATAAACTATTTTAAAGTATTTATTGGATGTTTAATAACACCAAATAATTATTTTTAATTAGCGTGGTGTCTCCTACCGTACGATAGGACTACCTCATACCTTTGGAAGTAGTGGCTTATGTAAATTCGTAAAAATTATTTTTTAGAAAATTTACAAACGTATTACGTGTTGATGGTAGAAGATGCCGTGGAAGAACAAACCTAACTTAACTCTTTCTTTCCCGATCAATTTTTAATTAATTATAATTAAACATAAAAAATACTTAAAACTGAAAAAAAACGAAAGAAATGCGTTAATTTTGACGGAAAAGCTTCAAAGTTTAACTTCCTTTGTCTCGCCTTTCTGTGAAATTTGACACCGATGAGTCATTGTTTACACAGCTGGATGACCTTGAGAACAGCTGGAGTCTGATTTCTCGGAACATTCCATAGACGTCTCGGGAGGACAAGGGTTTAAAGTAGGGTGAATATTAGCTGGCCGTATATTTTTAAATATTTTTAAAAAATTAAAATTTTAATTGCGATTTCCGACCCCCCTAATTAATTAAACGTATATATAATAAAATCTATTAATTAAAAAAATTAAAAAACTATTGGAGGTCGTTTTTGACATCAGAAAGTAGCTTTAAATAACTTTACCGAAGGAAAATCCATGCGCTAGAACTTTAGAACGATGAATTAAATTTGATAAAAAAAATCCCATTAAAAAATAATTAAGCCTTAATCGAGCCTTATCAAAGGCTAATTAAAATCGCGATAAAATTTTTTCGCGCGGGTAAAAATTTTTGAAAAATTTGGAGACTTAAAAAACATTCCAAAAATTGAAAAAAAAATTCACGAGTTAATTCGTCAATGGGAATGAAGGGTAATTAATAGGCTATTATGAAGGCAAATATACGTAAATTCTATAGGCACTTCGTATCATTTGCTAAAAAATTAAATAATTAAATCATTTCTGGATTAAAATCGTCTGTTTCTTTACAATATTATTTGTAAATGCTTAGATAATCATTATTTTAATAAAATAGGTCATAATTTTAACCCCAAACACAAAAAATGAAGTTTAAACCGATCTTCTACTCTCCATGCTAGACGTAGCGAATGCCATTATCGACCGTCTAGAATTGCCGGATGGCGGCGCTCGACCGTCCGCCGTTCGCGTTTTGGGCTGAATACGACGGCTGCAACCTCTATTGTCTATATATATAAAATTGCTTGTCCTGACTGACTGACTGAATGACTCACTGATTCATCATCGCCCAGAGCAAACCGCTGGACCTAGAGGTGAAATTTGGTACACAGTTAGGGTACGCCATGAAAACGCTCACTAAGAAGGGATTTTTAGAATTTCCCCCGCGGGGGGTGAGGGAGAGCATTAAGGCTTAACCGGAATAACGGCTTCTACTGTACTATTTTAGATGCTGTTGAAATACTGAATATAAATGGGATTTGCTTGCAAAATCCACGCGGGCAAAGCCGCTGGTAACAGCTAGTTTTGGCATATATTCGTTTTGTTATGGACCAAGAAATCCACGAAGAACTGCTCTTTGCGAGAATTTTGACAACAGACACTAAAGGCGAATCAATATATAATTTTTTGAGAGATTATTTCATGGAAAAAGCGATTCCTTTATCTAATATAATCAGATGGAGCACCGGCCATATATTAGCGAGATATTCCAGAAAATTTCCAGAATATTTTGATTGGAGAAAATTGTGGTAAATTTCCCTCTTATTAGAGTTATTGAAAGGTCTCATCTACTAGGTGGGGATAAGACTACTACTACCACAACAGTCGATGTAACAGCGAAAGCAAGTGCAGCACGTGGGGCCGTCCAGATACGACGTAAACCTGGTTCCTTTTTCTTTAAACTCGGATAACTTTTCCGTAGTTAACCTAAATTCATCATACTCGGGAAAAACATGAACCAGCTCTCCGGCTTTATATTCCAAAAATATTACCCAAAAATGTCAAAATACTTTTTTGTAATTAAGCGTCAAAGAGGCAAAAGTTGACATTTTGGTTTTTTGATTATTTTTTATTTCAGGGTTAATTATATTTTCCAGAAGTTATTTTATGCATATGCCAGGATTCCACTGAGCATTTTGACACCAAAATCATCAAAATCTAACGTGGAAATGTTTTTTAAAACTCCGAAACGAAACCGCAAAAGTCATCACAGAAGCCTGAGCTCACTTACTGCTAGCCCGGGCAATTATTTTCCTCTTCTAATTAATGTTTTCCTTTAGCAGGAACAACAGCCATACATGATTGCTTGAATGTATTCAATAAAAAAAATTCAACTAAAATTTAGTACATATTTTATAATTATTATTGCGTTTATAACTTTACTTTGTATTTTGATACAAATAATGCTATTTGCTGCATATACTGTCTTTTAGTGTGAACATGTTGCATTTTCAGAAGAAACAGTTTTAGTGAAATTGAAAAGTACAGTACAGTCGACCTCCTATAACACGGTAGATACGTTCCGCTTTTTATGAAATTCATGTTCTACGAGTCCTTAAATACATGAGCCAATCACAGCCCGGCACGTATGCAGTTTACGGACTATGGCTGTTTGAAAGGTTTGCTTCCATAAAATTAATCGATTCTAGACTAATTTGACTCAACATTTCCAAAACACGTATAATTTTTTGGGAATAATCCATATAAACTATGGTATGAACAAAAAATTGTAGGATTACTTATCGAGTGCGCACCGTTCGAAGACGCCATTGCTTAAACTTGTTTTCGTCGCGGAGCGGCTCATCGAACGGCGGGCGTGTGTTTCCTGATAAGTTATTTTTCTGCGAAAAATTCGCTGAACTTTGGAGACATCATTAATAT